CCAAAAAAAGAAGAGGTTCATGTCAGCATAGATTAGATCATACTTTCATTTCAACCCTCCCCAGTTTCAATGGCTAATGCAATGAAGATTGATTTCTTTTCGTTGGTGGTGGTGGTGGTCATGGGACTTGAACTATGGGCCTGAGCGCTGTCCCTCAGCTCTTCAGCTCAAGGGGAGCGCACTACCACTTGAGCTACAGTGCCACTTCCAAAATTGATTTCTTTCTCACATTACACAGCCTATACGCTTGAGTATTCAAGCGTATAGGCTGTGTAATGTGAGAAAGAGGTATACCAGGAACACAGAATTTGAGTTTGAGTGAGAAAAAGTGGATTGTTAAGTTATACATCAGGACCCCAGAATTTGAGTTAATTTGAGTGAGAAAAAGTGTTTTAAGTTATACACATGTCAATTTACATAGTTCAACTTTTACATAATTTACATTGAATATGATGACTATTTTCCCTGCCTTTTCTTATCTAATTGTCTACCCTTGCCCTCATTGCTCTCTCATCTTAAGCACTTTTAACACAATCTTTTTATGGTGGTTTCCACCATTTCTATGGTCCCTGGAGCAACAGATTTGATGCCTCTAAAATTTATTCATTATGGACAGGTTTGATTGTTGGCTTTTTCCATTGAAGGACTGATAATAGATTTGGGAAGGGGTCTACTATATCATAGATGTGCTTTCTAGGACTTCTAACATTTTTCTTAGATCTTTTCTAAATTATTCTTTCCATTCTTGTATGTTTACATTAAAAAAATCTCTTTATGTTTTTGTTCATACATTTATAGAAGGAGCCATGTTAAAGGTTTATGCCCAACCCACTAGTTGTGTATAGAACCCAAATATCCTTGAGTCTTTCAAAGAAATAGATTTTTTGATTGAATGGTAAAATTGCCTGTAGTTTTAATTATATTCAATTTATGCATTGTTTTTATTAGTTGTAAGTGTTTTTGTCCAGAAGTTATTTATGTTAGACTTTTAGATATGGTATAATTTATAAGCTACACAATTTTCTCTTTCTTTAAAAATCAAATCATCAGCCAGGCGCTGGTGGCTCACGCCTGTAATCCTAGCTACTCAGGAGGATCTTCAGCCCGGGCAGGAGAGACCGTGAGACTCCTATCTCCAATAAACCACCAGAAAACCGGAAGTGGCGCTGTAGCTCAAGTGGTAGAGTGCTCGCCTTGAGCTGAAGAGCTGAGGAACAGCGCCCAGGCCCAAAGTTCAAGCCCCACAACCGACAAAAAAAAATCATCATTATTACTGCTATTTTAAATTTTATCATATATTAATTGAAGAAAGTAATGAGGTTCACTATATTTTCATGTGTATAAGTAATTACTTTGATCACATTCACCTTTCATTATTTTTTCTCCTTTTCCCATTCTTCCTGGTACTCTCCTCTTCCCAAATAATTCCAAGACTACTTTATGCCTTTTAAAGTAAGAAAATACTAGATTCTGTACATGAAAGAAAACATGATGTTTGTCATTTTGAATCTGATTTATTTTACTTAACATAATTTCTGGTTGCATCTATTTTTTTCAGCAAACTACATAATTTTGTTCTTCTCTACGACTAACACTTCATTGTGTATGATATATATAATATTTTCTTTATCTTTTCATTAATATGCACATAGGCTTATAAATATCACATTGTAGAAAAGATTACATATTATATGTTATATAATTATTTTAGTATGTATATTATGTGGTTATACATTATATCATATATTATGCATATTAAATAATTATTTTACATTATATAGTTCATATAAAGAATTATATTTTATATAATTTTAGTTACATGTATTTTAGCCTGAAATTATAGAAAAAAAACACATGACAATAATGACTTTAAAACCAAGTTTTATGTCTCTCATATAAAAGAAGGCTGAAACATATTCTGACACTAGGGCTCCACTCTTCATTTTTGATTTGACATCTTCAGGTCATAACTTTAACTTCTTAGTTAAGATAGCTGTGTAATATTCATCCATTACATCTCTTAGCATATCAGAAAACAAAATAAAAAAGAGATGACTATTCCTTCCTTTAAAAAGTAGTTCCATGAAATACTCCATGGCTGTAGCTTTGTTATAAGACAACATCCAGCTGTGAGAGAAGTTGGAAAATATCAACATAGGGAGCTAAGAAAAGAAAGTTTATTAATAACAAATAAGCAGATGACATCTGTTTTAGTAAAATTATGGGACTGTATCATACTCAAACTTGACCTGTTACATACAATCTATGTCTATAGAACTTAAGTTACCCAATTCTGATGAGCTAATAAAACACATGACTATATCTCTCTGTATTGATTGTATGTATCCTAAAGAATACTTATTCCACTGAAGGTTTAGCTTCAAGAGCCCCAGATTAATGAACTTAATGGCTGGGGCAAGATCCTTTAAATTAATGATGCTTCCTTAATGTGCCATTGGCACATTATCTATTATTATTATTATTATCATCATCATCATCATCATCATTATTTTGTCCATTGTGGGCCTTGAACTCTGGGCCTAGGCACTGTCCCTCAGCTCTGTAGCTTAACTAGAGCTCTACTACTTCAGCCACAGCTCCACTCCCAGTTTTCTGGTGGTTTTATTGGAGATCAGAGTCTCGCAGACTTTTCTGCCCAGGCTGGCTTTGAACCATGATCCTCGGATCTCAGCCTCCTGAATAGCTAGGATTACAGCTGTGAGCCACTGGTGCCCGGCTTCATCTATTATTATTCTTATGAAATTAAAAAAATTAGGATCTAGAAAGTTTAAGATGCCACTTTTCAGACTCCTTTGAATATTATTTGGGATTATTATGTTTAGGCATGAGATTCTTCATGTGTGCCTTAGAAGAAAGGCAAAAGTCATCTTCTCACAGTTGCTGATATTGACCAAGTAGGTAAGAAATATGTGAAAGCCTGCAGCTGAGACAGCATTCCTCTGTCAAGTCACCAGCTTCATCAGGAACTGGAACGGTGGCACACAGCTACTCTGCTCCTATGTATAGCTAAATTTACGAGGTGAGAGTGAAAATTGTGAGCAACAGTTTTGTTAGAAGCAGCAGGAGCGTCTTGTTTCCTATACTTTAATTCTGGTACCATAACGTGACATTCAGGGCTGACTCTCTTACTTATATTTGTCCACTTTTTTAAATGGTTATATCAACATCCCAGGCCCTGTACAAAATAAATACACAGAATAGCTAAGCGTGATGTAACATGCCTATATTAATAGTCCTCAATAAGGTGAGGCCTTTTGAAAGTAATGATTTTTAAAGCTTATGAAGCTTTGAAAGTTGTGATTTTAAAAGCTTAGAATTCAGTCAGAATGATATATAAATAAGTTTGTTAGAGCTGCTAGAACTCAGGAAAAGACAGAAGACAGAAAATACAATGAAGTTAAATTAAGCTCACATGGCAGAGGTTGGAGAATCTTGAGTTTGAGATGTCTGTTACATAATGAGAATTTACCTCAGAAAATTTAAAATCAAGTGTTAAATAAACAAATTACTAGTCTGTGAGTGCCAGTACTGAACCCAGGTCCTTGGACTCTCACAAGACTTTTTCACTCTACCACTTGAGCCACACCTTTACTTTTAGCTTTTTTCTGGTTAATTGGAGAAAATCTCAAGGACTTTCCTTCCTTGGTTGGCTTTGAACTATGATCCTCAGAGTAGCTAGGATTACAACACCTGGTTGACCATTTACTCTTGAGCAACCAATGGACCAAGAATGGAATCAAGAAATAAATTTAGCCAGGTGCCATTGGCACCTGTAAGCCTAGCTACTCAGGAGGTTAAGAACTGAAATTTACCATATGAAACCAGCTCAGGCAGCAAAGTCCATGAAACTGTTATCTCCAATTAGCTATCAAAAAGAAAAAGCTGGAAGAGGATCTAAGCCTTAATTGAAGCCCTAGCCTTGAGCAGGAAGCTCAGAGACAGCATTTGGACTCTAAATTCAAGTCACAAGACAAAAAAAGAAAGAAATCTAAAAATCTCTTCAAACATGTGAATAGAAGACATACTATACCTAATATCTATATTAGGAAATATTGGAAAGGTAATACTAAGAGGGAAATTCACACCAATCAAAGTGTGTGTGCATGTGTAGAGAGAAAGTATATGTGTGCATATACATATATCCAAAAAGGCCTTAAATCAATCCAACATGTTGTCACTGTACCTCAAAAAAACAAGGACATGGGGGAGTGGCCAATTGGGAGAGCACATTCTTAGCAAGTGAAAGTATCTGAGTGAAAACCCAGTACAACGAGAGAGAGAGAGAGAGAGAGAGAGAGAGAGAGAGGAAAAAGGAAGAATGGGAAGGATAAGAAGAAAAGGAAATAAATGAAAGGAGAAGAACTAGAAAACAAAACAGCCAAACTCAAAATAGTAGAAGTGTGGTGTAGCACTGTAATTCAGCACTTGAGATGAAGACAGGAGGAATAAAATGTCTCAAAACACTAAAATACTGGGTCTGGGGGTTTAGCTCAGTGGAAGAGTGCCTGCCTGATGAGCACAAGGCCCTGAGTTTGGTCCTCAGCTCTGGAAAAATAAAATAAAATACTAACATAATTATATTTTAAATGCTAAAATTAGAATATATTAACATATATTATATAACATATAATAAAATGTTCTAAAATTACATTAATTATATTTTAAATACTAAATACTAACATTGTTGAGGGGAAAATAATACAGATAAGAATGAAAATAAAACATGAAAAATTAAGATGAATATCAATTTAAAAATTGAAAAAATAATTGACAAAGACTTAGCAGACTCCCCTCTGTACAGTATTTTCACAATAAAAAATAAAAATAAATAAAAAACAAAACAAAAGACTTAGACTAAGAAGAAGGGAAAACATTAATTAAAAAGTCAGAGATAGCCAGGCACTGGTGGCTCACGCCTATAACCCTAACGACTCAGGAGACTGAGATCTGAGGATCATGGTAGGAAGCCAGCTCAGGAAAAGTCCCCATGAGACCCTTCTCACCAATTAACCACTGAAAGTGATCCTATGGCTCAAAGTGGTAGAGCACTACTAGGCTTGAGCAAAGGAACTCAGTGACAGTGCCCAGGGTCTGAGTTCAAGCCCCACGACCAATAGAAAAAAAAGTTAGAGATAAAATAGGGAGACAGTATAACCAACACTACATCAATCCAAATGATCATTAGACAGAGTCAAAACATCTATATTCACAAATTTTTATAACTTAAAAGAAAGTAGCAAATTATTGGGGAAAATCAGCACAGGCTAATAATGAATAATGAAAGTTGAATCAAAGAAAATCCTAGAATCAAATGGTTTGCACTGGATTCTGCCAATCATTTAAATAGTTATTACAATTTTTAAAAAATTATTTCTAAGTAGGAGAGGAGAAATCCTTCCAAAACACATTTTATAAGGTCAGTGTTACTCTGACATCAAAACCAAACAAGACACAACAAAAAAGAGAACTATATGCAATATAGTTATGATGAACTTAAATGCAAATATTTTAACAAAAAACTAGAAATTGTCGCTCAATGTCATATTAAAATATTATGTATAAGGGAATGAGGGCATAGCTCAATGCTTACTTAACATGTATATGCTCGTGGGTTCCCCCACGTGGCTTCCCCCTAAAAGAATTATTCACCATAAACAAGTAAGATTCATCTCCCATATTTGAAAATGGTTCAACATATCAAAATTAAGCAAACAAAAAAGAAATAATCCCCTAATCACCCCCAAAGGGAAAAATTAAATTTAACCATGAGGTCACAATACAATTAGCAAGAATCAGGTAATGTGGAAACAAAGATTGAGTAGAAGAGGAAATTTTTTAATTGAAAAAACTCACAAAAGCATAGCATAGGAAATGAGAAAATTAAACGGTACAGTAACAAAATCCTAGAACACTTGAGATAAACATAAGAACCAAAATTCCTCTAGAGTAAGGTAGCAGCTTCATTATTATTAGAATTTGAGATAACTCTCTGTGGAGAGCTATCCAAGCATTGCAGAATACACTTTTGTGGTATGACTATCACAATTGCCATGTCCTCAAGTTGTGTCAATCAAATATGATTTCAGATATTGACAAACATTGGTAGGTAAAAAAATTTCTCTGGTTAAGAACCATGATCTAGAGGTGAAACAAAAGTTCTTTTAAAATAATGGATAATCAGACTGTTAATGACTAGTCTAACATTGAAAATTTGAAAATAGAGGAACAATGCCTTCAGAATATTAGTTGCAAATAACTCCTAATTTATAATTCCACACCGAATAAAACCTTGAAATAAGACACTTGATTTTTTGACACCTGAAAATTTTAAGATGTGCAGACTCTCAAAACATTTAGGAACTCAAAGAAATAAGGCAAACAATAAGAGGATATAAAATCCAGAATACTATGTAAAATGCAAGGGGAAAATGAAAGCAAATTGCTTGGTGACAGGTAAACCAAGTTACCAAGTGTACAAAAAGCACAGAGACTGAATTGTATACGGACAAGAAAGTGCTTGGATTGCTCTAGAGTGTCTCCAAAACAAATGATAAAAACTAGATTTCTCTATTCTAACCATCAAATTGAGAGCTTTAGAGTTTGAGAAGTTGAAGATAACTTTATATATAATCATGGTGGGTGAAATGAAAAAGGAAGTGAGGCAATTATTAACTTAAGGGCAAAGAGGCCTTTTGTTTTACTTTTAATGTTAAAATGTAAGCAATAATGAAATGGTGATAATTGCATAATCACTAAACAGAATTATGATATTGTTAGGTGGGAAATGAGGGAGAAATATGAAAATATATGTGTATGCCCTTTAAGAAGGAAGCAAATGGATAGTATCTAAAACTGAAACAGTTTGAGACCAGTCTGGGCTATGTAGTGAGATTCACTGTCAAAGGAACAAAGTAAAACCAACCCAAGCCAAAACAAATGAACCTTGAAAACTTCAGAAAAAAAGTATTTTAACTATGTTATTGAAAATATGAAAACATTAAACAGTTAAATAAATGTGGTTAGTTAATAAATATGGCGAGCTGTTGGGCAATCAGACTAGAATAAAATCCAAATAAATGTATCCTTTTACATTGAAATTTTATAAATGTAAAATAGCTAAACAACCAGGGGAACTATCTTTTAAAAATACATTATAAATGCATCAATGAGGTAACATATAAAACAACAAGTTAGGTGAAGTCTGGTGTTGTGGCTCACACCTGCAATCCTAGCTACTCAGGAGGCTAAGATCCAAGGGTCATAGTGCAAAGTCAACTAGAGCATGAAAGTCTGTGAGATCTTATTTCTACTAGCCTAACAAAAGAGGCTGGAAGGTCAGAGATAAGAGCCTAGGCTTCATGTTGAAGCCCCAAGACTGGCACACAAAAAGTAAAGTGATTGGGCTGGGAAGGTGGCTCAGTGGTAGAGCCCTTGCCTTGCATGCTTGAGGCCCTGGGTTTGTTTCCTCAGCACCACATAAGCATAAAAAAAGCCAGAAGTGGTGCTGTGGCTCAAGTGGTAGAGTGCTAGCCTTGAGCTGAAGAGCGGAGGGACAGCACCCAGACCCAGAGTTCAGGCCCCACGACTGGACCCCCCCAAAAAAAGTAAGGTAAATAGAAAAGGGAAGAAATTTATTCTTTTGCTTTTTAAGTGAGCAATTATGTGATGGTAATGTCTGAACATACATTAAAGTCTACTTTTTAATGTTCTAGGGATTTTTATCTAATTTTAAGCAAATTTCCTTGTATTCAATATGATCATTTGAAGTTCAAACTACCACTTTACTATAGATCCATTATACAAAATTATTTATAGCTAATTTAACTTCTATGCATTCATCAACAAGTTGAATATTTTCATCTTTGTTGATGCTGGGATTAGAACCAAAAGCCTTGAGCATGCTAAGCACATGTTATTCCAAAAGTCTACACTCCAAACTCCAGTAGAAATATCTCAGATTATTCTAAGATTGTTGAATTAACAAAGATTTTGAGTGGAGGAGAAATGATATTAGTTTTCCTTATTTTTTACACTTTATGTTGTGAAGTATAAGACTACCATTTTTTTAAAGAATGAGAATTATTTTAATATAACAAGTTATTTATTATGAAAAAGCAATCACACATTTAGCAATTTTGTTATTTTTAAAGCAAAAAATAGTGGATTATCTAATTAAAGTCAATTTGGAAAACTACTGAACAACATAGAAACATCATTCATACTAAATCTTGATTCTTGAAAAAAGCAACAAGTCTTTCTGAGAAAGAAGTGTTTTGGAAACAATAAAATTCCAAGAGTTTACTCAATAAGAATTTTACATTACTGGATATGATTTTAAAATTCAGAGTAATCATTTACAATAGAATTAAACTCACGCTTGTTATGATCAGAATGCATGGACACAAATGTCTTAATATTAAAGTGTAAATAATAATAAGTCTCAAACATTGGGACTCCCAAAACAACTGTGACTTCCAAACAATGTGACTAAATCAACAACATTGACAAACACTATTTCCTTAGTATTGTGTATGTGCGTGCGTGTGTGTGCATGTGAAAGTGCATTGTGTAAGCCAGCTAAGAAAAAAATTAAAAGGTTTGAAAAATAATTCAATGAGTTTAAATATATATATATATATGGCCTAAGACTATAATTACTAACATGTAAATATGCAGTATAAGTGAATGAAAGAGTTGAGAAGTTACAAATACATCATTGAATTCTATAATTATCATAAATGATCAATTAGATTCCTACTTGAATTCATAATGATTCTTAAAGTTGAAATTACGTTCATTGTTCCTATCAGTCCCTCACCACAGAAGTTAGGGTTTAACAATTTGACCTCAGTAGTCTCAAAGCACAGGGCCAAATAAAATTCATACTGACAATTCCGAGACAGGGTCCCAGAGTTGCAGATTTCTATCATTTAATCACCAAGACTAAGTTAAGTAAACATCCTAAGTAGATTTCTATCAGTAATTTAAACCTAAACTGTTTCGGAAGGGAGAATTTTCCTCTATCTCCTTCCCAGAGCCCTGAGACTGGAGATTGGGGACAATAGGCTTCAGGAAATTGAACTCATTGGTGCCAGCACCTCCCTGCAGACACACCTCATACTGGTAGCTGTGGGCCAGGGT